TTATCCCTCTGTTTTCTTATGCTTTTGACTCTGCAGATCACCCTGATCTCTCCCCTTTAGTTCCTCCTCTAAATATCCCACTTTTAAGTCTTGTGCAAACCCCAGATGCCCTCCCCTCACAGGCATCGACAGTGTGTCCCACAGCTGTAGTAACTACACCCCCTCCATCCCCATCCCTAAGGTGATCTGGGGAGCTGCTCCCATTTGCTCACTGGGTAGACATCTCACCGTGGGCCCACTGGGATGATGTCTCTCCTGGGACAGACCTGGGAGAAGCTGGGGCAGGGGATGATTTGGGTTCCCCCACCTGCCATTGTGCCGCTATGCACCCCCGTGTGTGTGGTGATGAGCCTTTTGCTACGTAACCTATTACTAAGCAGTGCCAAACTCAGGACAGGAGTCAGACCTTCACCCTCCGTCCACACCAGACACACACCCTGGGTGCTCCTGGTGTCCAGCCACAGCCGGTACTGTAAAAAAAAAAATGTATATTGGTCAACACCACCGCACAAGCGAGTACACGGGCTGTGCCAGGTTTGTTCACGCTGCAAACTTCTTCGGGGTACAATCGTGTTGAAGCTTCTCCCTTTGTCTTTTCTTCCGTCTCAGGAACACTTTGCCAAAAACAATGGTATGAATTCCAGCGAACTGTGGTACACTACTGTCAGACATGACGTAAAACAGGAATCCTCTGCGATTAACACCAATAGTCAGACAGAATATGCACTTGTCAACGTGCTCAAGAGGAAGGAAAATACTGCTGAAGAGCACAGTGACTATGATTATGTCCTGATAACTTAGAAAGGGGGCGCCTTCTGCTCTCGTGGCACTCCCACTTGAATGTTGAAGCCAGCAGTATGCAGCCTTGCTAACCATCCTACCTCTGCTGCCTGGTCTTCCAACAAACAGCGCACTCTCGTTACCAAGCTTACTCCTTAGGACACCTCCACCAGTCATTGCCAATGAGACAAATCTGCCCGTGAAGAGGTAAACGCAGAAAGAGACACAGCCAGGGTACAGGACTTGACAATTAAAGCAAGAGGAGCCAATAGCAACTGACCCTGTAGGACAAATTTTCTCTATAGAAAATTAGGTGTTTCATTCCTAGAAGTAACAGAGGCTGCATATTTTTCTCTGTTTTTACAGTCCTTTTTTTAAAAAAGGGGTCTTATAGAACTACTGATGGAAATCTCAAAAATGCAATAATAATACTCCTTCTGTGGTTTGGGTTCTTTCTCGTTTGTTTTTAAATGAAAAGTATAGACCCTGTGCTAAGTGTGCTTACTATTTTTCAAAGTTTCCCTGGCCTGCATGATACATACCATTATGTATAAATATGTATATACCATTATCTAACTGCACACCTCCTGGTAGAGGATTCCCAGGTGTTGCCTTCATGCTGCAATGCTTCCAGGTCACTCCTGCTGGAGTCTCAGGTTTGGCTCTCTGTGATGCCGGGACATAACCCGCCCATAGCTCATCACCCCTCGCAAGCAGCGTTGTTGGATATGCGCATAGGGCTGAAACCAGTTACTCAGCCCTTCACTGGAGCTCATGGCGTGATCGTGTGCCTGCGTTCTTGCTCAAGCATAGTTTTTGCTCCCTCCGTTTTTGTATTAAACAGTCTGTAAGAAAATGTTAAGCAGTTTTCCTGATTTTAACTCTTCCTTTGTATGTGATCGCTGGCTCCAGCACAGTGCAGTGCCTTTGCGGCTCCCACCTCCAGTTTCGGTGCTGGGGGTGGTCCCACAGGTTGGTGCAGCAGTGGGCAGAGACACTGCCACCACGGTGCAGGCGGTGTTCTGTGGGTATCGCTGCAGTGGTGGGCAGCTGCATCTGCCCAAACTCTGTCCTGATGACTGCCTGCCATGGGGCTTTAAAGGGCTGGTTACACACAGAACTGTTTTCCCCTCTTCCTTTTTAACAGTGTCTCAGTTGCCTCAGTCATCATACCCACTCTCTTCCTTTTCAGTTTAACATTCACACAAAACATCTAACTTGATGAAATAATGTGTTTTCACTCTGCTCTGTCCCTAGTGGATGAGGTCATAATTAAGTCACTTGGTTATTTTCTTTTGCATGACCAGTTTACCCCAAAGTTATAAAATCAGAAACCACTTTCCGACATTTTTTGATAGCTCCTTCATGCGAGTTCAAAGTCTGACTGGAGGTGGACTGTGAAGTCAGACATTTTCTGTTGAGTGTTATGACATCTTGCTACAACTCCACCTTCTTTCCTGTGAATTGCTGGGGTAAAGGTACCGGGGCAGGGGAGGATGGCTGAAAAAAAAAAAAAAAAAAGTGAACGCTTGGCTCCTTTTTTCTGTCTACTCTTAATGTGCATTGGCCTATCACTGTAAATAAGCATAATCATTTTTCAGTTCTTAGAATCAAGATAAAGAAGTGTTCAAGGGCAGGTTCAGTCATCTTAGAGCAGTAAGATAAAGCAGCATCTCAAAGGCGAATTATTTCTTTGCTGCTGTTATTTTTCATAGCCTGCTGCTTTTGTGAAAAAGCCATGCAAACCATGAATTTTATCCTTTCCCAGTGGAAGAATCAGAAAGAGTATCTGTTCTAGTTGTATGCTGCATAGGGTATCTCATCAAGAGAAATTATGGTTCTTACAGCCAACACTACATCTGAGAAATCAAGATAGGGTCAGACTAGCCACAAATAGAAGAGCCATGTGAACTACTAATTTGGTCCCAAGCTCAGTTAAAACCCAAGCAACAACAAATACGGGTTTGAGTGTACGGCTGTGTCAGGCAGACGCTTCATACAACTCTCAGTATTTAGAATCCCAATGGTTATTTTCTAACTCAAACAGCTGAAAGACTGGGACTGCTGAAGAATGAAAACAATCACTTTAAGAGTACCAATAAATAATTTAATGCATGGTAAAATTGTCAGATTACTCCTTAAATAAACTGGTAATGTTAGAAAAAGAGAAACACAATTTCCCACCAGATATTTCTCACAATACAAAAAATTTCTTAAAATAAAGTTGTCTATCCAACAGCACTAACATTTATACTGTCTATAAACAAATGACAAGCTATACTTCACTAACATGGTAGTGAATCCATTCAATTCCATGCAAAGTTAATGCTTAATATTTAATTTTCATGTTATAGCCAGTTACTGGCTATAACTCTCATGTCACACTGGCATACATGGTCTGCTTCAGCACCTTCCTCCTGTCATTGGTCCATTTCATCTGATCTCTTGTCAACAAGAACAACTATTTTCTGCCTTATGAAGGCAAATATCTTGCATCTGTTCATTTTTATCCCCACTCCTGGGATGGGGGCTATAACTAAGGGTGTAGAATAGTTTATCTTTGAATTTACAAATACAGGTCAAACAACTGTCTGTTCACTAGTACCAATAGTTAAGTATTAAAGCACACAGCTAATCTGACCCTTGAAAAATTCCTGTGGCCTTCAGATGCGTTAGTGAACAAGACGAGTATCTTCCCGATGTTTCTTCCTTCATTTCTATTTCACATTACTAAAGAGAAAAAAGGTACCACCTTATCCAGGAAGACTGCAGGATGAACAAGGGAATGATGAGAGTTGAAGCTCACTTAAGAAGCTAGTGCAAAGGTCTTGCATGTAACTAAAGAAAATAGAGAGGATATTTAGGTTTTCAGGCTGTTCTATGAGGAAAGAACAATGAGGAAACATGGCATATGGAGTTAGCAGGCAGAAAAGTAACAGACAAGCATGGGTGGAAGTGAGCATTAGGATGAAGCTGTGCAGATAATTTTGGACAAGCCAAGAGCAGAAGAAAGGAGGCATATGCAAGCCTGCTTTTAAGGCTTGTGCAGGCAATCTGGGTTTAATCGCAGGCAAGACAAAGCAGAGGTTTCAAAGTCATCAGACAAGACACATGATTTTCACAGGAGTGAAATGGGTTACTGAGATAGAAGGACAACAATAAAGAAGGAGGTAGTGGTGTTAGAGGAGTACAACACTGTTATAAATAAACCACATTTTCCATTTACAATATTGCATCACAGACAGTATTTACAGGACAACATCTTTAGAAGTTTTTCTAATGAACAGCTCCCTACCCTGGGATTACTAATAGACACAGAAGCTCATCTCTTCTAGACAGTGAGGAAGGTGAGGAGTCTTCCCATCATTTCTCTGAAAGTTAAAACAGTACATCGTTAACATTGAAATGAAACTTTAGGTATGTATTTCAGCATATTCCTGTCCCTTTTACATTACATTTTCTATGAATCATGTCTATATATAAGGAACAAAATGATACTGAGGATTGGAACTCATTACTTGTTGCTCTCTTGTCTCTTGATAAGAGTACCAAGAAAAATCAATATGAGTTGATCACAAATCTTACTTGTACACACTCTGTGGTCATATGTTAGCCTAGAGTTATTCTGAAAGCACGTAGGTGTGGCTCCTCAAGCTGGGGGCGGAGGGAACCAGCTCCATGCATTATGTTAATTAAAACTGCAAAGCTCATAGGAGCTTTTACACTGACATTTCAATCAAGACAAATCTAATGCATTGGAATCACTACCTGGAAAACCTGGAAGAATGAGCACCTGATTCCTTTAAAAAGATGTCTCTGTGAATAATAAATTTTCAAAAAACACCTCTAAAAAGACAGAAATCAGGAGATGTTTTCATGCTTGACTGCGAAAGAATTGGAAGTTCACTCCCAAATTACTTCTCCTGTTTTACTTGGATTGAAATTTGTTTTATAAACATTCAAACCTGAATATACAATGAGGAGGAACATTTTTAATTACTTGGTTTCCCATTACGGTGCACACACATATAAGGAGGTTTCCTTTGTACACATAAAATGCCAGAGGAGATCTGAGGAGTTTGGTTGGAGTCCACAGTTAACCAGTCTCATCACTCCTCCCTTTCTCATCAGAAGACCAAACAGTGAATCCTAGGTTATAGCAAGACTTTCTTGAAAACTATGTCACAACTTTCATAATACTGTTGCGCAAAATACATTTACTAACAGATCTCAACCTCTTTCCAGAAAGACTTTCCTCCTTTCAGATTAATACTTCTGCTCTTTGTAAAGAAAGTCCCTCTAATGCACAGCACTTACATGTCAATGTGAGAGAAGTCGGGTCTAGCTTCAACTTGTTACATTCATATATCCCAGAATTAAAAGTATCATCTTCATCATAAATATTTTGACGTAAAACATTTTTTATAAAATCTGGGTTCATTGTGTTTTCCATAAACCCCTCTGTTGATGGTGGTACAGAAAACTCTAGCTGATAAAATACGGTGGAGCTTTCGTTGCTGTAAAACAAAGCAAAGTGTGAATGCCTTCAAGTTCCCAGTGGATCTTTTCCTTTTTGTGAAGACTGATTTTTCACATCCATGTTGGTGTGGATTTTTTTTTTTTCCAAAACTTGTTCTAAAGAAAAGCCTTCTAAAAGAAAACTGCCATCAAAGATTCCAGTTTCCTCCTGCCCTTCCTTCTCAGAACAGCTCGACATGAACGGGAACTGGGCACATACCCGAAGCCAACCTGAGACATGTTTTCAAATGCACCAATGGCAGTTGGACACGTGTCCTACTGGGGTGAGGTTTTCAGCACTTGAGCTTCACAAACACAGAACGATAAGAGGTGGTGTGGTGTCTTGTGCTTAGGTTCGCTGAGAACCTGCAGAAATATTTGCTCTCCTGCAAGCAGTATCTGGGGCTACCCAGCTGTGCCCCTAACTCAGCTCTGGAGTGCGTTACCCAAACCACCAAACTGGAGTCCAGCTCGGGAGAGTTCACTGCTTGCAGACTACCACATCCACTGACTGTAATTAAACAGTTACCTTTCGTACTCACAGGATTTAAAACACTGAAGAAGTAGTTGGATGAGGGAAAACAAAAGGACGAAGAGAGAGAGATCAGATAGTATGTATGCAGAACCACAGCTTTGTACTTGATGGTCTAAATCATGGTTTTTACCCATAAGGCTCAGGAGCCGCAGCTCATGCATTGCAGAGAGCTGTCATGCCCAAGGCTGGCAGTGCAGGGGAGGACATTCCCCAAAGCACCCCCAGGACTGTGCCTTACCGCAGCCCAAGGGGGCTCTTCCTCTGCCCTTGCTGTCTCAGGGGCCTCGGGACTTTGCAAATCTACTTCCTTTGATTTTCCGCTGTCTTTCTAATCCCTTTTGTAATAGTCATTTTTCAGAAGTCCTTGGGGAAGCTCTCTGACCACCTTCCCTTGCCTCTCTGCTGTCTCTTCAAGGCAGGACCATGCTGCAGCTGACATTCCCAGCCCCACTCTTCCCTCTGCTGCTCAGCTTCCCTCCTGTTGTAAATCTGTGGTATCTCCATAGAGTAAAACTTTACAGTCTCCAACACAGTAAGCTCCTCAGCCTTCCTCCAGTGCCAGTTTCTGCCGAGAGTTAGATCTTCCCTCTGTTCTAGCTTCAAGCTTCCTGGTGACTCTGCAAGGCATGCCTGGATGCTTTTTTTTCTGCTGCTTATTTGGCTCCATCAGCCTGCAGTGGCTGAGCCTCTCCTTCCCATGTCAGCACCTGCCACCCAGGCTAGCTCAGCCTCCCCTCTGGCACCTGCTCTGCCTCTCGCTCCCGTGCCACCAGTCCCTCCAATATGCTGCTGTGTTGGGATTTGCTCCTGTTGTCCAAAGTCAGGTGAGGGGGAAAAGTGGTTGGAACAAACCAGCAATGCAACATTACTGTTTTGGCTCTCATGATTTCTATGTCCCTGTTGCCTTTAGCTCTTTCGGGAACAACAGTTTTCCCCTCCCCATGAACCCTGTTTTATTTATTTAGGACGATTTAGGCCATGTCAAGCAAGTGGTTCCAGCTGCTCATTTTCTTTTCAATTAATACCCTTGAATATGTTTATTAAGGGCTGCGCTTGGAACCAAAGACAACAGAGATGATACCTAAGAGCAACAAAATGTTACCGTCATTACATCTATTAGCAGCACTTGCCATTTACACCAGAGGGTCCTCCGACCAGCTTTCACTACCTACCTATGTACCTCACCCCCAAATAACCTATTTTTCACACATTAAAATGCTGTGCATATTTACACGAGCACACGTACATCTCCTCAAAAGCCTGGAAGTTTTAGATAATTTTGGTGACAGAAATTGCTTACCTGAAATAAACCACCTGAGCTGACCTAAAGTAGCGTCCTAGAGCTGGAGATGAGCTGTAGACATCTGTTAACTTGGAGAGAAAAAAAAAAACACAAAAGAAAAAAATGTGTCTTCCATTCACACTCTTTTCCCCATGATAGAAAACAGAGCAAACCATTCTTACACAGTGTGTTAAGAGGCATAAGCATGGATGGCAAAGGTCAAATATGAACAAATATCTGCCCTGGAAAAGGTACACAATCCCTTTAAGCTTGACAGACAAGCTAATCTGTGTGTTTGAGTGATTACTGTATTACTTTAACACAATGGAGGCATTCAGGGGGAGGTAAAATTATGTGCTCATGTTGCCATGTGCAATTTATGTTGTTTGGCTTGGGTTTTTATTAGTAACAAAAAGCTCTTCTACTCTAACTCAGTAGAGGGAAAGGTCTCTCTACTGAGACTCCTTTCCATAAATCTACATGGGCACTACCACGCCTGCTGAACTTATTTCAGCTGTAACGCAGAGCTGTGATGGTTCAATGGAAACAGCAGCTATAAGCCCAGGCTGTCGTCGTGTACTTATGGGAGATGCCACACACAGGATTTTTAGCCAGCATTTAGATGACCTTCACAGGCCCCTCCTAACCCAAATTATTCAATGATCCTACGAAAAAGTTGAAGATTATGTCCCAACTGTTATGCAAATTTGGGAAAAAAAATCAGACACTTTTTTAAAAAAAGTGAACTGTTTCTGTGCTTAAAAGCAGACAATTCTTTTTTCTAGATCAGCACTTAAATTGATGCTAGAAAACATACAACTCAGAACTTTTAGGGACTTCAAAATGACCGAGTTGTTACACAAAGAAGCAGAAACTTCTTAAAAGGGAAAACACTGTATCTATGTTACGAGCAGCAGCTTTGCCAAGAACCACATGGACACATACCCTCTTAGCAATGTCTTCAGAGAAAAGATGTGGGAGACCACACATTAATTCCAATGTTCCCGTAAAATTGTGACTATTTCCACTATTTAGTAGTGCATCAGCATCCCAATAGTCATCCTCATCTGTGTAAACATCTAATATCCAAAAGGAGACAGAAAGAAGAGGGAAAAGTTCCAGTTAGGGTAAGTATTGGAAAACAAACAAAGAAACAAACCCTTCTTGGATTTCTCCAGGTTGTCTTTCTCACAGGTTTCCTGGGTAATGACTGACAGAAAGAAAGTGCAGGTCACCTGAAGAAAAGTGACAGCACATGGAGGTCAACCACCTGCCTCTCTTAGCGAAAGTCAGCTGCTCAGGGAGCCTGAGGGGGACTCACACCACACGAGGGGACATCGCAATGATCCACTGCACCTGTTGCAATGTTACAGGCATCATTTCCATCCTCATCCCTGACTCTGTTCTCCTAACATTTCTTCATCTAGCTACAAACTGGAATTGCCATTTGATCAGGATACAAGTTGCGTGCTGCCTGCTAAAATTAAAGCGTTCACATCCACTGCTTAACACACCACCCCCTGCAGTCAGCACCCCAGTCCCTTCAGCAGTTTGCAGAAGGAGTTTACAGGATGCTACTGTTCAATTTGTGTTGCATTAGATGGTATGTACTGTATGATTTTCAAACCGAAAGTGAGATACTTACTAGAATAAAGAATTAGGCTGATGAGAATGACGAGGAAGAGTACTAGAAAAATTGCAGTTACAACCATCCATAGTTTACATTTCCAGAAAACTACATTCCCACATGATTTCCAGTGGTCTGTCTCCTAGTTACAAAAGGAAGGAGCATATTGATTAATGAATTAAGACAGGGAAAATATTTAAGCACGTATTTAGCGTTGAGAAACAGAAAACCCCACCTAGATGGGAGCATGTCAGTGGTGAGCAATGCCCTACACCGGGTGTTCCTGCCCTTAGGCCCTGCTGCAGGTGGGAATGCAGACCTGCAGAAGGCACAGGACATTCACAGGCAGGCTATGACTTGGAAGAGAGGTATCATTCCCCATTTGTGCACTGAAAATTCCTAAGTAACCCACAAAGGTGCTACAAACGTGCTTTAGTGGCTTCCAAATTTCTTTTAAAATGACACAGGCTTGATTTGCATGTTCCACAAGCTGTCTTTTTAACGTTTGCCATCTCTCCCAACCAAACAAGGCGTCTGTGGAGGAATTTCCAAAATTGTTCACCTCTGTGACATTGATGATATCAGTCTGCATAGACCCTGGATGCCAGCAGCCAAAGTGATTGCTCTTCATTAGAAACTATTGTGTTAAAGAACACTGTAAAATAATCGAGACTTTTACAGGTCACTCCCTTTTTCTTCGGAAGTTTGGAAACCTAAAGGCTATTGAGTGCATTTAACAGAAAGCTTATTACAAATCTCACCTGTTCTAGGAGATCACAAGGAAACTCTTCAAAGATAATGTGCTTGTGTGCATGCTCATATAGGAGAGAAAGCAGAGAAAAAACCATACTTGCCTTTCATCTAATTTTTAATAAGATTTAAGGCCATGGCAGAAGTTAGTGTTTTATTGGTTACCCCAGCAGTACTAATATTAAAAAAAGCCACATAGGTGATACAGCAAAACAAATACAAAACCCCTCCAACTACTTTGTTCCACAGCCGGAAGACTGAAGGAAGGGCACAAATGCATAAGAAAATCAGGCATGCTGTCTTTTTAATTCCTCCTCCCTATTCCCCATAAACGGAGCTGTAAACTCCATGTCCTTTTTTGAACTCAGTACCCAGGTGAGGAAAAACGTGCTTGTAGCTTGTCTGGGCCACACACATGCGGGTTGGCAGGAACGAGCTGCTGGCTTGGAGGTACTAACCCAGGTTACCTCCCTTTATGTTTTGAACTTTCTAAGAACCCAACTGTAATGGAAAGCCTCTCTCTGAATTTAACTGACCTCCACCAGCTGGCTTAAACCTTCTTTGGGGGTGGCAGATGAACAGGGGGAGAGAGCAGACACTCACAGAAAGTGCTTACAGCACCTTCCAGTACCTGAAGGGGCTACAAGGAAGCTGAGGGGGACTTTTTACAAGGGTCTGTAGCAACAGAACAAGGGGCAATGGGTTTAAATTGAAAGTGGGGAGGTTTAGAGTGGATATCAGGAGGAAGTTCTTCCTGGAGAGGGTGGTGAGGCACTGGAACAGGTTGCCCAGAGAAGCTGTAGATGCCCCATCCCTGGAAGTGTTCAAGGCCAGGCTGGATGAGGCTTTGAGCAACCTGGTCTAGTGGAAGGTGTCCCTGCCCATGGCAGGGGGGTTGGAACTGGATGGTCTTTAAGGTCCCTTCCAACCCAAATGACTCTATCATTTGATGATTCCATGAAGTCTTTAAGGTCTCTTCAACAAACCATTCTATGATTCTCTTACAAGAATAATTTATCCGGGGGCGAGGGGCAGAGAAAGGGAAAGTTCTCTCTTCAGACACCCCTGCACGTAGAACTTTGGTGGAGAACGAAGAGCAAAGGCTGAATATGGTTTTGTTTACAGCATGCTTTCAGGTGTAGTCGTGTTTACATATATACTTTTTGTTTGATTTCTAAAATGTATGAGAAGAATGAAGCTTCAATGAAGCTTCAGTACTTGACACTAGCATATTGTTTTTTATGTGAAAAGAAGAAAAAACCCGGCAACTACTGCCTAGAGTACAGCTATGAAATCAGACATAGCAATATCTGCTGAGACAGACAGTTACCAAGCCCAAGTTTCAATTGAGCCGCATATTTAGACTATGGCAGAAGTGTTAACCCTCTATCACGTGCAGCAGAAGGACTTGATCTCAAGCAAACATCCAGCTCCCTACCAGCTGGGCCAACAACCTCCGGACATTGACCACATACGTCACAAGGCTGCTGGGAGGGAGCAGCAGCAGAGGAAATATCTCTGTGGGCAGGGCAGTTCTCCTGATCAACCTGCCCATGAGCAGGAAGCAGAGCATGATAATTTTCAAGCATTCCCTGTAGGATAGGAAGACAATTGCCAGAATCAGCAGAAACGTAGCCCAAATGAAAACTCGGTTCTGGGAAGGGGAAGGATAAACAAAAACTTAAGGGTGAAGTTTCTCAAGATAGCTGACCAGATCTCGCTCACGCCTGCCTCTCCTCCCCCCTCTCCTGTTCCTCTTTGCACCTCCCTTGACTTTGTCTGACCCTGCAGCAGGCTGTTTCAGCTTACCAGCCCAGAGGAGAAATAGCTGGCCGATGTAGCAGAATAGCTGGGGAATGAATCTGCCTACAGCCATGATCAGTGGGACTCACACAAGGGAGAGGTCACTGTGGCTCGGCCAGGAGCCTGGAGGGAGGGGTGCCCTAACTCATATGGATGACTCAGCCATCCTTACAGAAAAGTGGGAAACTTCTTAGCTCTGCTACAGATACTCCTTCTGCTCCTGAGTAAGGCACAAAAACCAAGGCACAACAGTCACCTGCGAGTATCACTCCTCTGCCAGCGTTAGTCTGTTCCATGTCTTTAAGCTAAATGCTGGGAGGTACGTCCCACAGGACTCACATGCTGGTCTGAACTGAGGCTTTGGAGCACTCTATTCATATAAATTCATAATTTTTAGCAGCCACAAATTACTCAAAAATAAAAAGAGGGAGAATCCATCCTATGCTTGTTTTGGCAGCACTGTTTTTAATTAACTTCTTCTGTAAGAAAGCCTGTTTTTAATACGCATTTCAACTTTCCTCCTTTCTGGTTTTGAGCCCAATCCCACTGACAGCACAGGAAAAGAGAAAGCAAAACAGTGCCAATTACAACTTCATTTTATAAGTTTAAGTTCGCAAACAGCCAAGCACAAAAGAGGGAGGAAAAAAGAAGAAAAAGCTTTAAAACCCACTCCAATATTAGAATACTTCAATAAGAAGAAAAGAAATATGTTTAACCCAGGTGTTCAGCCTTTACTTTCAAGTGAATAAGCTTTCTCTCTCCCTTAAATGAGAAATTAAACCACCCTTACAAGATGTTCCTGCAAAGTGTCATTTCTCTTTGCTATGTGGTATTTTCCCCCAACAGCAAGCATCAAATGAGCAACTGAAATTCCTACCTTTCTTGTTTGAGCATTTAGAGGCTTGCCATGATCAGCCTCACTTTCGTCCGCTTTATCTTCTTGTAATTCAATGATCTCGTGCTCCGGACCAGAGCTCTGCCTTTTCATAGCTCCTGCCTCTGCGCGAGGACCTCTGTGGCTGAAGCAAGCTCGGAGGCAACTCATTTCCTTCTGGTTTCAGCAGCAGTTATGGTCAGGGGCACTTCTGGTGCGAGGCTGGAGACGGTAACGCTGAGGGCTGGGATAGTTTTCACAGGAGTGATCCCTCAAAACACTGATAAGTAAGCGGAATTCCCTGGAAGGACAAATCATGTGGTCTGCACTAGCTGCAGAGAAAGGGGAGGCAAAGGAAGTATCGATTTCCCTAGTTGCCAGAACTACAGCCCTCAGCTGTGCAATACCAGGTTTTCCAGTTTGTCTACCTTCCTGTACCAGCCCTTGACAAGCACAAGCTGGTGACTAACCCTTCAGCAACGTTGTCATTTGCTGAGGCAATTCTGAAAGGAACCAGACTGCTTTCCCTGCTGCTGCCAGCCAAAACAGTAAAATACTATTGCTGTTATCCGGGCAGATAAACAGACTGATGTGGTTCTGAACAGCATGAACCAAGTGAAGGATCACACAGCTTGTGGTTTGGTTAGGCTGTGAAAAGAACTTACAGTATCCATCAACACTTTAATTTTAGTCTCGCTGTATAGTCAATAAAGAAATGAACACTTCTGACCTTTGTGCTGTGAATTGTCCTCTCTTTAGCTGGTACGTAGCCTAAAATCACGTTTGGTGCTAAAGAACCACTGATGTCTATTCACATACTATCCATCCTAAACCCAAGAAGTCACTTCCATGTAAAACCCACAAAAGGACAAATCTGAAGAGAGGAGGAAGGTACTCTTTAATTTCAGCCTGTGCCGTGCAGGACATGCTTTTATGGAGCAATTCATGGGGTGAGTTGAGATCTGGTCTGCACGATCTTCCCACGTGAACTCTCCCATGCTACTTAGAGTCACTCATAACAACTTATTGCAGCTAGTGGCTGATTCCTGTCCACACACCCCCAGCATCCTTCATCCCACCTCCTCTCATTTCTCCTTTTCTGAATCCATCCTCCTGTTTCTCCTTCCTCCCCTCAGAGCACCTCTCTCCCCCCTGGATCAAAAGGGTTGGGCAGGCAGCCGGTAACTGCGCTCTTGCTCTCTGCTGTCCCAGCACAGAGGATCATGCATTAAGGGGAAAACAAAGCCTTTTTCTCCAACTCCCTCCCTTGCTGGCTGAGCAGCCACTCACAGCACTGTTCCTTCTTTTTCCTGCCAAATGCTGAAGATGCTTTTCCTCCCCCCAGATTTTCCTGTTGCACAACTCATCTGTCTACTGATGCCTGGATCATTCCCAAGGGGCTCAGATTCCTGATGTCATGTCACAGCCATCCAGGCAAAAAGCCACTCCATTAGGCTGAGCACTCAGCTTGGTTTCATTAAGTCAATAAAAAGCAACACAAATTGCATACCTCACCTTTTGATTCTGGAGAATCCTTAAAACTCCGTAGGACTGAGGGTGAAGGTGAGGAGTCATCAAAATGAGTGTCTGGATCCACTAGACTTTACCTGGGACATACTCACTAGAAAAAGCCTTTACGTACTGGTCCTCAGTCCTCCTGCTGGAGACGAGCTGCATTTATTTCATATCCACGCACAGTAAAAGACCTTACCTCTCTACTGAACCGCCTGAAACCACAGCGGTTAATGATTATGGATCTCACCCGGCAAAGGCCAAAGCCAAAGTCCTTTTGTTTACGGCTGTGAAGGAGCTCCTTACAAAGTCTTGAGTTCCTTTCTTTTGTCTGGGTGGTCCAACTTCCACACTTGGTGCCTTTCTTTCATGTGAAGTAACTGACCCTTCTGACGCACGGAGCTGAGAAACTCAAAGAAAACGGGAAGTTGCGAACTGATCTGAACTTTCTGGCCTAGGCTTTTATCTAAAACAGAACAGCAGGAAAACTCTTTCTTCTGTAGTGAGGACATGACTGCTTTCAATATAAGGAAAATAAACTGGTGTGCTTTAGTAAAACGGGTAAGTTAGGCTCAGATTTACAAAAAGAGGAAACTCCAAGGCACAACTGTAGTTCTGACTGCACCTGGGGATTAGAGTTGCAGAGACACAATCAAATGAATAAAACATAGCCACTTGCACTTTTAGCACGTTTATTACAAAGTGAGGTGTGAATGAGTGACTAGCCTTTAAAGATACTAAAACCTCTAAAATATAGGCTTTGAGTATAGCTTACATGGTAAGTTTGAGACAAGCATCGCAGGGGAGGGAAATTCCCATAAACAGCTTTGGAAACCTTAAGTCACCAGATCTGTGCTGATCAGGTCATCAGATTTCAGTTATCAAAGCTAGGTTTACTGCTAGGGTTAAAGGAATGTGACCCTCATCTCCTCTTCTACTTTCTTTGAGTCTAAGGATGCATCCAACCACATAAATCCATTTTCCTTTTAAGTTCCTTTCAGTGTGGTGTGGCATTGTGGGCACAGCCCAGAAAGAGATACAAACGAAAAATCCTGACCATGAAACGCTGCTTGCTGCGGACCACAGACATCAGGAGAACAGCATGAACCCACCATGAGCATGCTAAAATTGACAGAGATTGCAAGAGCTGGGGAAATACACTTGTAACATGTTGCAAACAACAGACACTGCAACTATGTCCGAACTGTAAAAACAAATTAAGAAAGCACCAAAGTTTCCTTTTGTTTAATTAATTGAAACTGCATACTTCTTTCCTCTTACTTAGACATCATCCCAAAGAACCCATATGATGCTCTTCCAGTTCTTTAATGGCAATTTCTTGCATTCTAACACTTGTGAGCTATTTATTTGATGTTTTTAGTAAAACACAGGAGACAGCCCAAAAGTTACAGCCCAGAAATAAGCAGTCGTGCAGTGGTAGCATAACTAGAGGATTAATTAATCTCAGCTTGGTGCACTATACTGATTATTGTATTTTCAAGAAACACAAAGTAATTATTCATGTTTAGAATCCTGTAACATCAATGTTGTTTCTGCTGCTGGGTTTACGGAAGATGAATCCATAAGAAACCTGAAATTGCTCTGAATCTGAACAGTTACTGCTACATGAACAACAAATGATAGTTTCTTCATCAAGAAAGTGCATTCTTTCACAAAGAAACTCTCAGTGGCCTTTTCACATTACATCATCAGAAATGGACATGACAGATGGCTGTAGGAAGTAGCTTTCATAAGGGGGATGATCAGCATTTTCTCCTTGGCACATCAGTTTGTATTCTGGCGAATCCAGTCATGAAGTGCTGTCACCTTAGTGTACACACCAGGACGATTGCGCCGAGCACATCCTTCACCCCAGCTCACAATGCCTGCAAGGTACCACCTATTTCCCTTTCCTGTGCAGGCCAAGGGACCTCCAGAATCTCCCTAAAATGAAGGGAGTTTGGCCATTAGTGCACACGCATGCACACAGGTACTGTAACAAAAGTTAGGTTATTTAAGGACAGTAAATACCTTCTCCTCTCTTATTTATTTCTGTATAGAATGTAGGTTTATTCAGTTTATTTTAACTTATGGAAGGAGCACAATGATAAATATAAAGCAGTGGCAAGAAGTTAAAAAAATTACTCATTGCTAATGTCCCATTACAGGATTCATAAAGCAACTGATCACAGGCTGAGTGGGGATAGGAGAAAACACAATGGGAAGTGGAAATTCTGCTACCATTTGACCATAAATTGTTCACAAGTTAGAGGCAGAACTCTTATACTGTCTATTAAATAGGGATACAACAACAACAAAAAACAGATAACAGACACTCCCAACAACAACAATGAAAAAAACCCCAAACACCACCAAAAAAACCTCCAAAACAACAAAACAACCAAAACCCAAACCAGGAACAATTAAGTATTATCAGCAGTTTCATAATCCATACTGTGTCTACATTCATAGAGGGAGCAGAAGGATGACTAAGGAACATGCAGATAAGAACTGGCTTCTCAACGGGAACATGGAGCTCTGTACAGTAACATAGAAAAGTAAAAAATCCCGTTTTGTTCAGTTCACAGCATCAAAATGTATTTGGGCTCACAAGTGCTTGGTTCCCTTCACGATTTTAACCTTCTACGCCTCCTGTGAACAGACCAGTCCACGGAACCCCGAGCAGCTATGAACGCAGCTCAGCTCTGCAGCTGCCCCTTAGGCATACAAGGCAGCCGGCAGCCTCCAGGTTGACCCTGAGGCTTGTTTGTTGGCCCCAGTTGGAACTAAACCACAGAAGACATCAGAAGAAAGCCATGTACCGAGAAAAGAGAACAACAGAAAGCCTACATCATCCAACCGAACAAAATTATCTAGAGGTAAGACATCAGAAGAGTTCTTCCTCTCTCTCAGGCTGCTGTCATACTGGCAATTTTGGTAATCCAAGTGACCGATCTCCAAGTCACATACTCTGGCCTATTACACAGCCAGCTCTGAAAGACAGACGGGCTGTATGTTGGTGGAGAGGAAGGATCCTAAAAAGAGGAACCAAGACCACAGAACATCCTGGAGTGATAAGAAAACAGAATCTGAAAGAGTATATATTTTATTTTTCACTCCGAGTATCACATCCTCTGAAGATGAAAGATGTTTAGAAGCCTCACATAACCTGTGCAGTACATGCACAGCTGACGTGTCCATGAAGAATTGAAACAAATCAGGATGCTCACAAGTCTGGAACTGTAGCAAAAGGGTTTCAGGGTGCTGTGGGGATTTCCTGAACTGCTAACATCATTCCTCTCCAGGACTGCAGAGGAAATACACTAGTGACTGAAAAGAAACAGCAAAGATGCTACTCAGAGCAAGAACTTAAAGTCCCAGAGGGCCAGCATGCTAGGACTCAAACACGGCATATTATGTTAGAAACTGGATTGACCAATAAGGTGGATAGTCCAAGGGGTTAAAGTGTCCATCTAAAAATTTAAGGGCAATTTCTTAAGCAACACATGTTTTGGAGGAATATTAAGCCTCTAAAACAACATGTTTTGCAAAACAATTCTAAGGTCATACACAGACTGCACATAAAGTCAACAAAAATAGTAATTAATTGAATTGGAGACTGCAGGAAGATCCCATAAAAAGTCTATTGTGTATGAAGA